GCTGCCTCCAGCACGTCCCCTATGGGGAATCAAGCCCGAAACCCAGGCAGGTGCCCTGACCGGGAATTGAACCATGACCTCCTGGTTCATTGGTTGACACTCACCCACTGAGCAACACCAGCTGGGCAGGATGGTTCTTTTTTAACAAGTTAGGACCAAAGCTAAGGCTCAGGTCCTGTTCTGTTAGTTCCTATCTGTTTATCTCTGTTCTCATTCCCCAAAGGATTTTGAGTGGCTTTTACAATGTGGGAAGAGGGAATAATGTGAAAATTAGTTAGAGATTGCTGTGCGCTCTGTGCCACTGCCTGCCTGTTGTGTTTACTATAATTCTCTGGTATGTTTCCTGCCCAGCAGGGAGGCCCCACTCCTGCTCCTTCGTCTTTCATAGATGTCTTTGCTTCTGTCATGGAGTTTTCTCTTTCATGCGATCGTTAGAATAAACTTCCGGTCTCTAACAAAAATTCGGATGGAATTTTGATTAGGATTGTGTTTATGGATAAAATTGAGGGAGATCTGATATCTATAATGTTGGCTATTCCCATTCAGTGTGTGTATTTGTATAAAAGAAAAAAATGTTACGAAAGAAGACAGACCCCAAAGACAATGCATTATATGATTCCATTTAGTTGAAATTTCTAGAAGAAGCAAAACTGCCAGGGCCTGGGTGGGAAGGGGGTTGGTGTGAATGAACACCAGGAATCTGATGGGATAAAGGAAAGGGTCCAACACTTCGTGGCAGGGACTGTCACACAACTCAGTGAATTCACTAGAAAATCTTGGGTTATGCACTTTAAACTAGTGAATTTTACAGAAGTTAAAGTGCACTTCAGTAAAGTTAAAAAATATATATTTTATCTAAGCTAGAGAGAGAGGCTGTCCCTGAAGCCAGAGGCCAAAAGCTGAGGTTGGAGTCCTGGTGTCTGCCTGATTTGTTTATGCTCAGCCTAGGTCCAGAGCAGATTTAAAATGTAACTCCTGCCCTGGCCAGTGTGACTTAGTGGTTAGAGCATCAGCCTGCACACCAGAGGGTCTCAGGTTCGATTCCTGGTCATGGGCATGTACCTGGGCTGCAGGTTCGATTCCCACCCCCAGTGGGGGTGCATGCAGGAGGTAACCAATAGATGTGTCTCTCTCACATCAATGTTTCTCTCTCCTCTTTCCCCCTCCCTTCCACTCTCTCTAAAAATCAATGGGGGGAAAAAACCTAAAATGTAACTCCTATTTTACAAAGTCGCCAACCAGTGGGGAGTTTGGTGAATTATGTGTATAGTTGGGCAAGGTTGTGGCCGGGTGTATGGTTTGCACAGCTCATGGACAAGCAAACCCCGCCCATCAGTTCTTTTTAGTATCAACGTCACACTGATGTCCTGTAAAAACATAGTGGAAATGCAGACAAGTATAGAGAAGGCAATGTCACCCAAACCTCCCCCCCATGACCATTGCTGACATCTGTTGAGCATCTTCCCTGAGTTTCTGTGAATTACATTCACACAATGATTTTAAATAAGTAGATTTTTTTTTTTTTTTTTTTTTTTAGTGAGCTCATTTCGCTTGATGGGCGTTTTTTCTTATCAGTAAAGCTAGATTTCCATCTTTCCTGATGTTGGCTTAACATTCCACCTTATAGACAAATTATAATTAATTTTTTAGAGATGATTTTATAACTGATTTGACTGGTGTCCTCTTGGTAGGCTCCTGTGGGTGTTTATTTTCTTTTCCTTTTTGCTATGCTTTGGGATGAATGTTTTTGTGCCAACTTTGTATAGACTTGGTTGGTTATTACTTAGGGTAAGTTCCTATAAGTAGTTTTGTGAGGTGTATATGTGTGTGTGTGTATTTAAATTAGAGTGTTTTCATTTACATTTTTGACTTTCAGCCACAGGACCTCCGGAAATGTACCATTTTTTATTTCCAGGGCCCCTTTTCTTACCATAAAAACTGTAGTTGGCTACAGTTTTCATGTCTTTACCAATCTGACCAGCCAGGTCACTTGTGTGGCTGCTGTGTCGGGGTCTTCTGCATTATCCATGAATTCAGCATTCTCTCTCAGGAGCTTCTGATGTGAGTGGCCTGGCTATGTTGTCTAATCTCCTTTGTGTTGGGAGTTTCTTTCTCTCATGGATTTGCGTGAGCTCTTTGCACATATTTGTTGGAATGTACTATATTTCTCCATTTGGACTCTGTCTGGTGTGTCACAAATGTGACTATTTTTCTGAGTGTGTTTTCCCACTTGGCTGGTGGTGGTTCTCCCGTAGGGAACTAGAACTATAAATGTTTCCCGGACACAAGTGTTCTCCTTTGTGTTTGGGAGGCATTCTTCAGTTTTGAGATTATAAAAACAGTTCACCTGCAATGTGTCCAAATTGCATATTTTGCACTTAAATCCTTGACCTGTTTGAAATTCAACTGTACTAGTGGGTCTCACCGGGGTGATCCTGTCGCCAAGGGAAATGGCAATGTCTGAGGACATCTGTGGTTGTCACGATTAGGGGTGCTCCTGGCATCAAGTGGGTGGGCCCGGGGATGCTGCTTAACTCCCCACAGTGCCCAGGAGAATCCCCCACAGAGAATGACCAAGTCCTGACGTCAGCAGTACCAGCTAGGGATCCTGCACAGTCTGGCCCTGAGGTCTAAAGGGACTCATTCGTCTTTATTACAGACCCAAATCTGTGTCATCTCCACAGAGGAAAAACAGCTGCTAATTACATTTCCATATGTGCTACCGAGAATTTTTCTAGAGATGACTGGGGAACATCATCTGGAGACAAAACATTCTAGCAGTCTGAGCTCAGTGTGGTGCTTGAGTTTCACTCTAATGTGTCAACAGGACGTCACAGAGTAGCTGAAAATTCCAAGCGTTTTCTTTGGTTTTGATCCCTTTGCATACAACTGAGAGTGGATTTGGCCTCTCAGAGGACATTGGGCCATGTCTGGGGACATCTGTGGTTGTCATGACTAGGGGTGCTCCTGGCATCTAGTGGGTGGGGGCCAGGGATGCTGCTCAGAACCCCCCCAGTGCCCAGGACAGCCCAACGGAGAATTACCGCCCAATGTCAGCCGAGGGGAAGCCCTGTTGGAGGGAGACAATTATTTGCTGAGCTGGCATACCACAGGCGGGTCTTGCAAGAGTTGCGAAAGAAATTTCTCAAAGTGGGTAATACCAGGCTTGTCCTGATTGTTTTTAAAAAGTTAATAATCACTTGTTGAGCGCATTGTGTTTGCCAGGTGCTGTGTTACCCACCCACAGGCATCCTCACATTCAGTTCCCCATAGCACCAGGGTCAGAGGTTCCAGATTAAGGGTCATCGTCAGGCAGAGGACTAGATTAAGGGTCCAAGATGTACAAGATTCTGACCAGGGTCTCCCATTACCGAGCAGCCACCTGTCTCCAGAGAGCCAGTGTGTCACTGAGTGAGGGTTGCCGCTGCCCATCCTGAAGGCAGAACCAGCGCTCTGATGCACTCCTCTGAATTTCTGCAGATGCCAGTGGTTGGTGGCGTTTGCTCCAGAGTGCCTGAGCCTGGGCAACATTCATCAGAGGGCTGCTGTTTCCTCTGGCAGTCACTAGGGGGCAGAGAAGGCCCATGGGATCAGACTGGCTCAGCATGGGCCCCACAGAGACCCAGGTGTGGATGGAAATTCAGGTGGGTGTAGATGGGTATCCAGATATCTTCAGTCAATCCTTTGCCCCTCTTGGAGCCCTGTGACCATGGGTCC